CCGTTTTCTCGTAATTTGCTTGGTTTTCGCGGTAATTGTAAAATATCACAAATTATTGCTTATTTATAAACACAAATTGCAAACAAAAGTTTGTATGTTATTCATCCAGCGATCAATTCACAATAAAGGTACGTCACACCATCGTAATCGAAAGCAAAAGCGATTTAATTTACGTATGCCAGATTTCTGTTTTTAAATGGTGATAGATCCCGTAGCTCTATGTTCGACGTACAACAACAAAATTTAAAAAAAGACGTCCAAATGAAATTGTTAGGGCGAAATTCGATTGTAGGTCGCACCAAAGAGCTACGGAACCGCAGCTACGGCCGATACTGCCACTGTACTGTCTTCGTGCATACTTTGTGGTATCTTCGTAATAACCTTATTTTATCGTTTGGTCTCGGGTGGGACTAACCTCTATAAGAAAACCTAAAACAGCCAATCCACCATCTTCCCCCACAGCTTCAGCTATACTTCCGAAGCGGCTAGTGTCATAGGTCACAATGTGCATCTGAAAACAAGACATATTATTGGTAATACATCTATCATCTACGGTTTTGCCAAGAACATGACAACATAAATATAAGCAGGACAAACTTACTTCAGCTGGGTGAGGTGTAAAGTCCATGAAGTGCTCAGATCCACGATCATTGTTTTTACCCCAGTGAAAATGAAACTGCCCGGCTCTGTAGGTTGCTCCAAGTCCACCACCATCAACAAGGTAGTCACCACTAAGTGACATTTTAACTGGAAAAAATGTTTTAATAAAAGATATCAAATCTATGATCGGGCATTCTATTCTACTTTCGCACAATCTCACACATATCATCATTAGATCATACTGTTTTACGACCCCAGGTTAGCCTTAATAGTTTAAAACACTGTGGTGTGCAAATAAAACACTGTGGTGTACAAATAAAACACTGTGGTGTACAAATAAAACACTATGGTGGGCAAATAAAACACTATGGTTTACAAATAAATAATATCGTGTTATATAACAGTTGTACAAAAAAGACATACCAGTATGACCATTGTTGGTCAGTGTCATGGTAGCACCTACTGGTGGGGTGGTACCAAATCCCGTTAACTTTATATCTTCAAAGCATTGGTCCACTGCGATGCTTTTTTTCAGGTAAACTGGTGATTGTTTCAGTCCAGCACATTCTTCAAATTGGTCCCACCATAAATTAGGACCTGATATGAAACCAAGGGATATATATTACATCATCTCACCAGTATAAGCATTCGACACAACCTAAAAGATGTGCATTTTCATATATATATATAGCTTTTAACACCATTACCGTGAACACGCACAATACGTACCTAAAA